GCTCCCACAGAGAGGGTCTCCTCAGGGTGCCGTCAATCAGACAATGTCGGTTGGCGACCCCCAGGGGGAGAGCCTTCTCTGTTGGAGCCCCCACCCTCTGGAACGAGCTGCCCCCAGAGATCCGGTTGATTCCGGATCTCCCCTCCTTCCGCCGCGCCCTCAAGACATGGTTGTTTCAGCAGGCAGGACTGGCCTAGGGGTATTTTAAACTGGTTTTTAATTAATTTTAAAATATGAATAGGCCTATTGTATATATCTTTTAATTGATTTTAAATTTTGTAGATTTGTATTGATTGTCTGTTTTTAATTGGCTGTAAGCCGCCCTGAGTCCATTGGGAGAAGGGCGGGATATAAATGCAATAAAACTTCAAACTTCAAACTTCAAACAGTCTCCTGGTGATTGGCCCAGTCACACAGTCGGCTTTCATGCATGAAGGCGGGACTAGAACTCACAGTCTCCTGGTGATTGGCCCACAGTCACCCAGCCGGCTTTCATGCATGAAGGCGGGACTAGAACTCACAGTCTCCTGGTGATTGGCCCAGTCACACAGTCGGCTTTCATGCATGAAGGCGGGACTAGAACTCACAGTCTCCTGGTGATTGGCCCACAGTCACCCAGCCGGCTTTCATGCATAAAAGTGGGACTAGAACTCACAGTGTCCTAGTGACTGGCCCAATGTCACCCAGTGAGCTTTCATCCTAAGGCGGAACTACAGTAGTGGCCAAAATTGTGGAAACCTTTTGGGAAAAGTGTACAGTAGAAATGCCACCTTTGGTTAAGCTTCCACCAGTTTTTCTTCTCATTTCTTTATAACTGTAGCCTTGTTCCCTTAATAATGCTATTTTACATCGCTTTCTGGGCATCCAGTCAACTCTTTGCACCATTACTTTAATTTTATTACGTTTTACAAGCTCACTCAATGAAAGAACACAAAAAAACCCCAACCAACTTGATAGCGATCACATAACACACTGACAAATGTCCTCCTCTCAGCTTCAACACACGACATCAATAACTGGATCCTAATGTGATCTGATTGGCTCATGGCCAAAACAAGAGGACACCCGATTGGCTCTCTAAACACTCCTGCTCATTGGCTACAATCAGAGGAAGGAAAGCTACCTGAGATCAACCTGAGCAAGTTGTGCTTCCTTTTTCTGGTTATTTGGCTGTTAACTTTTCATAGAATACAGTACAGATAACTGAACAAACTTTGTTGCATTACATTCTTGATTAAATGATCTTTCCACTGATATATAATTTTATGGTACTACTCCAAAAAAGGGAGGGTGTTATTAGCCATCAAACCTCAAAAATACACTTTTTTCCCAAAAGGTTTCCACAATTTTGGCCACTACAGTCTCCTGATTTCCAGCCTGGCGCCTTTAACCGCTAACGGGATCTCTTTAATGTTTTTCTTTCTACTTTTGTGTGGCCCATAAAACTCGATCGATAAATAACAATGGCCATTTTTTTGCCATTTTGCAAGACAGTCCACAGTTCGGCGCTGGTGTTTTTTGCCTCCGTTGTGAGAATGTTACAAAACACAGGGCGACCCGTTATCGACCAAAAAGGAACAACAGTCTGTGTTAAAAAAAAAAACACACAACACAAAAAAACCCCCCAACATCTGGGCTGCTCTCCGAAGTTAAACAGGGTCTGCTCAGGTCAGAATTGGGAGGAGAGACCACCCGGAAGGCTGTTTCCAGCTGTTGGCTAGACCGGGAAGGCGAAAAACATATCCCAGACGAAGGCGGAAATGACTTTTTTTTTTTTTGAAACGCTCCCAAGAAAACGGGGAAGAATCCCCAGAAGCCGAGTTCGACAGAAGGGCGTTATTCCATTTACTTTGATCATAGTGTAAAGCTGCCAGTTTTGGTTTTTTTTTTCTTTTAACCCTCGCCTACATGTCGGTCAGTCCCTCGGGTGAACCGTTTGCAGACAGGGAAAAAGAACTATGTAACAGAGTAACGGAGTTGGGAGGGATCTTGGAGGTCATCTAGTCCAACCCCCTGCTCAGGCAGGAAAGCCTATCCCATTTCAGACAAAGGGCTGTCCAATTTCTTAATAATAATAATAATGATAAAGTTGGAAGGGACCTTGGAGGTCATCTAGTCCAACCCCCTGCTCTGGCAGGAAACCCTATCCCATTTCAGACAAAGGGCTGTCCAGTCTCTTCTTAAAAACTTCCAGTGTTGGAGCACCCACAACTTCTGGAGACAGGTTGTTCCACTGATGAATTACCTAAACCTAGAATTAAGGAGAAATTTCCTGACAGTGAGAACAATTAACCAGTGGAACACCTTGCCTCCAGAAGTTGTGAATGATCTAACACGGGAAGATTTTAAGAAGAGAATTCTTTGAAATGCTATAGCAGGGCTTTTCAACCAGTGGTAGGGGTACCCCCTGCGGTACATTGGCACCTGGCAAGTGGTACGCGGCCATCCTAGAAAAGTTGTAGTGGGGGAGGGGAATGAGCTGAACCGGTGGCAGCACCGCACAAGCCTGAGCGAGAGACGGCTGGAGCTGCAGGGCTGTCAGGGCTCAGCGGAAGCGCCAGGATCAGCGCTTCTTTGGGGCTGTCAGGGCTCAGCGGAAGCACCAGGATCAGCGCCAGGCTCCAGCTGGAGCTCAGCGCTGATCCTGGTGCTTCTGCTGAGCCCAGAAGAAGCGCCGATCAGCTGGAATGTTGCAGCATCTCCAGGGTCTTGTGATTTACATTCAGATGCTTGGCAACTGATTCACATTTATGACGGTCACAGTGTCCCAGGGTCATGTGAAGTGACCAAAACCTGCTGCAACCACCCAGCAGACGGGGGGAATAAAAACCAAAAAAACCCCACCCTACCTCCGCTGCCAATCCTCCACAGAAATGCTCACAACAATGGAAACCTCGGACAGGAGGAAGAGCGCCGCCGGGCAGGCAGGCAGGGGTCTTGCTCGGCTGTGGCTTGGGGGGCACTTTTTTCAGTGCCATTGTAACTTTGAACAGTCACTAAGCGAACTGTTGTAAGTCGAGGACTACCTGTACTTTATCACTTTTTTCCTTTTTTTTTTTTTTGGTCATCAAGTTTTTGACACCTTGCTAGGCGACTGGTGGTACTCGGATGTTGCCATATCCTAAAAGTGGTACAATGGGTGAAAAGGTTGAAAAGCCCCGTGCTATAGGGCAGTGATGGCGAACCTTTTGGAGACCGAGTGCCCAAACTGCAACCCAAAACCCACTTATTTATCGCCGGGTGCCGGGTGGGCGTGGCCCACTGGGTGGGCGTGGCTGTGATGTCATGGCAGACCTGGTGGGTGTGGCCAAGGTGGGCGTGGTCACCGCGATGTTGCTCGTGGGGAGGGACCCCTGTGGGGACCGGGCAGGGTTGGGGGAGATCCAGGAGGTCTCTGGCAGGTGGGGCCGTGGGCAGGAGGCTCGTCCTGCGGGGTGAGGCGAGGCAGGGCGGGGGTGCCATTGCCGCAGGGCAAGGCGAGGCAAGGGTCGGAGTAGCTGCTGCCTGACACCGGCGCACTCTGGGGCTCCGCAGCCCACCGCCAGCAGTTCAGAGAAGCCGCCTCTGAGCTGGACGGACGGACGACAGCTGAGGAGGCGATGCAGTGGGTCGTGCCCGGGAAAAGGAGAACATGTGAGGCCAGGAGGGATGGGACGGGGGGGGGAACCAGCCGTGCTTGGATGCATCCGGCCACGTGGGACCTTGGCCAGTTAGCAAGCGGCTGGTTGAAGAGGGACGGTTGCCATCTCTGGGGCATGGCGCGTGTGCCCACAGAGAGGGCTCTGAGTGCCGCCTCTGGCACGCGTGCCATAGGTTCGCCACCACTGCTATAGGGTTTCCTGCCTGAGCAGGGGGTTGGACTAGAAGGCCTCCAAGGTCCCTTCCAGTTCTGTTATTCTAATTCTACTTCTTCTGTCAGGAAATTTCAAATTAATTCTAGGGTTGCATCGCTCCTTGGTTAATTTCCACCCGTTGCTTCTTGTCCTGCCTTCAGGTGCTTTGGAAAACAGGCTGACCCCCTCTTTTTTGTGGCAGCCCCCTCAAAGCCCCTCAGAGGTAAAAATAGATGTTGAGATTCTAGAAAGAGGGCAGAGAAGAGCAACAAAGATCAGGGGACTGGAGGCTAAAACATATAAGGAACGGTTACTGGAATTTGGGATGTCTAGTTTAACGAAGAGAAGGACGAGGGGGGACATGATAGCAGTCTTCCAGTATCTCAGGGGCTGCCCCAAAGAAGAGGGAGTCAAGCTATTCTCCAAAGCGCCTGAAGGCAGGACAAGAAGCAACGGATGGAAACTAACCACTGTTTCTTGTCCTGCCTTCGGGTGCTTTGGAGAATAGATTAACCCCCACCCCTCTCTTGTTTGTGGAAGCCCCTCAAAAACTGGACTGCTGCTATCATCTCCCCCCAAGTTCTTCTTTTCTCTAGACCAGTGGTTCTCAACCTTTTTAATGCCGCGACCCCAACCGGTCGTAAGTCGAGGACTAAACCGGTCGTAAGTCAAGGACTAAACCCGTCGTAAGTCAAGGACTTTCCCTGCCCGGGAGCGCCGCGCATGCGTGGTTTCGCCCCCTGCGCCGGCCGAGGCGTAGCTGGCAAGTGGCAGAGACGGAGCAGGCCGACCACCAGCTGGCCCAGCCCAAGGGAGGTAAGGCACCTGCCGGAAAAGGGGAAAAAAATGGCAGACAAAAAAAATGGCGGACAAAAAAAATGGCGGACAGCCTTGCTTGGCGACCCCCATGAAATGGTCGATCGACCCCAAATGGGGTCCCGACCCACAGGTTGAGAACCACTGCTCTAGACTAGCCAAACCCAAATCCTGCCACCGTTCTTCCTATGTTTTAATCTCCAGGCCTTTAATCATCTTAGTTGTTCTTTCTGCACTCTTAGTAGCTATTCGCTCTCCCCCAGGTCCGTCGGGCAACGGAAACAACACAAGGAACGACGCGAGAGAGAGTTTGAGAGCAACTGGGGAAAGGAGGACCCCCTGCTGAAGGGGACCTCAAAAACCCCCCATCCTTTCCAGGCAAGTTCTCAGAAGGCTACGCCAGGCGCAGGCTGGCGAAACCGGGCGCCTGGAGAAGGGAGGAAAAAACGTTACCCGATTCTCATCGTAGATAATCTGGACGATGCTGCGATGTTTCTGCTCCACCGGCGGCGGGGAGACGGGCTTCTCCGGTTCAGGCGGTTTGGCGGCTTCTTCCTCGAGCTGTTGCTAAGAGACAAGAGGGATGGGGGGGGAATAACGTCAGCCACACAAGCCCGCCGTGAGTCAGAGAGGATAAGGCGAACATCTGGATCGGCCAGATGTTGCCTCAGCGAGGTAGGAAGGAGAGGGGTTGCCCAGCAATTGCAGTCACAGCAGTATTGGAAGAGACTCTAAGGTGGGGGTCTTCCAACTTGGCCCTTTGAGGACTTGTGGACTTCAACTCCCAGAATTCCTCAGCCAGGCACGCTGGCTGAGGAATTCTGGGAGTTGAAGTCCACAAGCTGGGGTCTTCCAACTTGGCCCTTTGATGACTTCTGGACTTCAACTCCCAGAATTCCTCAGCCAGGAGGCTTTAAGACAGGGGTCTTCACACTTGGCCCTTTTCTGGCTGAGGAATTCTGGGAGTCGAAGTCCACAAGCTGGGGTCTTCCAACTTGGCCCTTTGATGACTTGTGGACTTCAACTCCCAGAGTTCCTCCGCCAGGCATGCTAGCTGAGGAATACTGGGAGTTGAAGTCCACAAGCTGGGGTCTTCCAACATGGCCCTTTGGTGACTTGTGGACTTCAACTCCCAGAATTCCTCAGCCAGGCATGCTGGCTGAGGAATTCTGGGAGTTGAAGTCCACAAGCAGGGGTCTTCCAACTTCGCCCTTTTATGACTTGTGGATTTCAACTCCAGGCATGCTAGCTGAGGAATTCTGGGAGTTGAAGTCCACATGTTGGGGTCTTCCTACTTGGCCCTTTGATGACTTGTGGACTTCAACGCCCAGAATTCCTCAGCCAGGCACGCTGACTGAGGAATTCTGGGAGTCGAAGTCCACAAGCTGGGGCCTTCCAACTTGTCCCTTTTATGACTTGTGGACTTCAACTCCCAGAATTCCTCAGCCCGGCACGCTAGCTGAGGAACACTGGAAGTTGAAGTCCACAACCTGGGGGTCTTGCAACATGGCCCTTTGATGACTTGTGGACTTCAACTCCCAGAATTCCTCCGCCAGGCATGCTGGCTGAGGAATTCTGGGAGTTGAAGTCCACAAGCAGGGGTCTTCCAACTTCGCCCTTTGATGACTTGTGGACTTCAACTCCAGGCACGCTAGCTGAGGAATTCTGGGAACTGAAGTCCACAAGTCCTAAAAGGGCCAAGTTGGAAGACCCCTGCTTATGGACTTCAACTCCCAGAATTCCTCAGCCAGCGTGCCTTTTACGACTTTGTGGACTTCAACTCCCAGAATTCCTCAGCCAGCGTGCATGCTGGCTGAGGAATTCTGGGAGTTGAAGTCCACAAGTCATCAAAGGGCCAAGTTGGAAGAGCCCTGCTCTAATGGATAGTTGGGACTGCAGAAAAAATCACTGCAGGCAGCCTACCTTCCAGAGGAGACTCATACATTGGGGGGGAGGGGGGTGTCAGAAGGAGGGCTGAGAAAGTAAATACAGACCCTCTCACATCCTGGACGTAACCTGGATCAACTCTTCCCCTCGGGACCCCGCCATAGAGCATTACATGCCAAAACAACTAGGTGTAGGGCGAGTTTTTTTTCCCTCGTGCGTTCACTCTGCTGAACAACTAATCCTCAGAGTACTGTCTTATGTCTAAATATATTCATCCATTTGTACAGCTGTAGTATTATTATAATACCTTCTCATCTCCTCTACTGTTCCCTCTAATTGGCACCACTATTATGATTATTATTACTCTGTTGCTTTGCATGTACAGTGAGAGCTTCTGCACCGAAGACAAATTCCTTGGCTGTCCAAATAAAATATAGTATTAGTATTAGTAGAATAGCATAGAGCTGGAAGGGACCTTGGAGGTCTTCTAGTCCTGCCCCCTGCTCGAGCAGTAGGACCTATACCATCTCAGACAAGTGACTGTCTAGCCTCTTCTTTAAAATCTCCACGATTAAAAGCGCCCACAATTTCTGGAGGCAAGCTGTTCCACTGGTTAATTGTCCTCACTGTCAGGAAGTTTCTCCTTAAATTCCAGGTTGCTTCTCTCTTTGGTCAGTTTCCATCCATCGTTTCTTCTCCTGCCCTCTGGTGCTTTGGAGAACAACCTGGCCCCCTCTTCTTTGTGGCAGCCCCTAAGATACTGGAAGACTGCTATCATGTCTCCCCTGTTTCTTTATTCCATTCCTATTTCTTTATTCTATTCTATTCCATTCCATTCGAAATTTAATACTTATTCTTATTCTATTCTATTTAATTCATTTTTATTCTATTCTATTTAATTCATATTCCATTCTATTCTCTATTCTATTCTGTTCCGTTCTATTCTATTCTATATTTTATTCTGTTCTATTCCTGTTCTGATTCTATTCTATTCTGTTCTGTTCTAAATTTAATACTTACTCCTATTCTATTTAATTCATATTCTATTCTATTCTATTCTATTCTATTCTATTCTATTCTATTCTATTCTATTCTATTCTATTCTACTCTAATTTAATTCTAATTCTAATTCTATTCTGTTCTATTCTATTCTCTGTTCCATTCCGTTCCATTATATTCTATATTTTATTCTGTTCTATTCTATTCCTGTTCTGATTCTAATTCTAATTCTAATTCTGTTCTGTTCCATTCTCTGTTCTATTCTATTCTTTCAGTTTGCAGGTCAGAACAGACAGGATGTAGACAAGAGAAGACATTCAGCTGGAAACTGTTGAGCATTCTAGACCAAGCTAAATCCAAAACTGGTAGAGAATTCCTGGAGGCCCAGTACTCCGACCACTCCAGCCATCTACAGACATACAGAGATAAATGACATCTATATACCATTCAAGCAAGACAATCAAAAAGCTAAAAGGTCACCACACCTCCTTGACAGCAATCAATGCCCCAATAAGCAGAGATTAGCTCCAGGATTAACACCAAACCAACAATCAAGGAATAACCAAAGGAACTGCCAACTCAGATAAACAAACACAGAGTGAACAACAGCCGAATCCAGGACAGAGAGCAAAACTCACACTCCCTTTCTAGCACTGATGAGGTTACCTAGTTGGGTCATGAAACGTCTGCAAGAAAACCGCCCAGCTCAGAGAGCACCAAGGAGCCCCACAGTTCAACCCTGTGAACCCCAACCTTGGGGTTTCAACCCCAAACAGTATCTTCTATTGGATGCAAGACAGATCCAGAGACAAAATGCTTGCTGCACTGACAACCTTGAATAAAAGTCTTCTGAGAAGCTCGAGATCCTGTCGCAGGTTTGAGAACTCCAGGTTGAAAAGTGCCAGGTTCATTCTAGTATAATATAGGAGCCCTTCTAAATTATACTAGACATATCGAGACACTTAACCAATTAGTCCAGGGGTGGGCAACCTTGGCTCTTTTATGACTCGTGGACTTCAACTCCCAGAATTCCTGAGCCAGCCATGCTGAGGGGAAAGGGAGAGGTTTCCAAGCTGAGCCATGCTGGCTCAGGAATTCTGGGAGTTGAAGTCCACGAGTCATGAAGGGGCCATAGTTTCCCCATGCTGGCTGAGGAATTCTGGGAGTTGAAGTCCACGAGTCATAAAAGAACCAAGGTTGCCTACCCCTGGTGTAGGTCTTAACATGGGATCATGGCCAACAAAATACAGGTAGTCTTCCACTGACGACAACAATAGCCCAATAGCAAGGGGCTTTTAGGTTCTCCGGTAGCAGCTGAGATACAAAAGCTGCCTTCTGCCTAGGCCAGGGGTAGGCAACCTTGGCTCTTTTATGACTCGTGGACTTCAACTCCCAGAATTCCTGAGCCAGCATGGCTCAGCATGGAAACCTCTCCCTTTCCCCTCAGCATGGCTGGCTCAGAATTCTGGGAGTTGAAGTCCACCAGTCATGAAGGGGGCCATAGTTCCCCCATGCTGGCTCAGGAATTCTGGGAGTTGAAGTCCACAAGTCATGAAGGGGCGATAGTTCCCCCATGCTGGCTCAGGAATTCTGGGAGTTGAAGTCCACGAATCATGAAGGGGCCATAGTTCCCCATGCTGGCTCAGGAATTCTGGGAGTTGAAGTCCACCAGTCATGAAGGGGCCATAGTTCCCCCATGCTGGCTCAGGAATTCTGGGAGTTGAAGTCCACCAGTCATGAAGGGGCCATAGTTCCCTCATGCTGGCTCAGGAATTCTGGAAATTGAAGTCCACAAGTCATAAAAGAGCCAAGGTTGCTTTACCCCTGATCTAGTCCAAAATCACACTGACCTACGAGCTCCAATGCCCGCATGGGTTTAGAATAGAATAAAAGAATCATAGGGCACCTTATAGGTCATCTAGTCCAACCCCCTGTGCAAGAAGGGGACCCTACACCATTTCTGACAGATGGCGGTCCAATCTCTTCCTGAACGCTTCCAGTGAGGAAGCTCCCACAACGTCTGGTGGCAAGCTGTGCCACTGGATGATTGTTCTCACTGTCAGGAAATTTCTCCTTATTTCTAGGTTGAATCTCTCCTTGGTCAGTTTCCATCTATTATTTCCACCCTCCTCCTTTTATATCCTCTCCTCTCCCCCCCCTCGTCCTTTTATATCAGGGGTGTCGAATTTGATTTCATTGAGGGCCACATCAGCATTGTGGTTACTGTTGGGGAGGGGGTGTGGTGCTGTGTGGCCAGCTCTACGTTGCTCAGGTCGGGGGGGGGGGGCTTCTCACACACATGTCCCTCCAAAATCCTTGATTGAAAAGCCCTGGACTAGAAGACCTCCAAGGTTCATTCCAACTCTGTTATTCTGTTCTGTTCAGAGGGCTAGCAAACTGTCTTCCTGTACTTAAGGGGCTGCCCCAAAGAAGAGGGAGTCAAGCTATTCTCCAAAGCGCCTGAAGGCAGGACAAGAAGCAACGGATGGAAACTAATCAAGGAGAGAAGCAACCTAGAACTAAGGAGAAACTTCCTGACAGTGAGAACAATTAACCAGTGGAACAACCTGCCTCCAGAAGTTATGGGTGCTCCCTCACCAGAGGTTTTTAAGAAGAGATTGGATTATCATTTGTCTGAAATAATAATAATAACAACAACAACAATAATAATGTATGCAACTGAGTCTTGTCAATTTCAGGCTACAGCACAAGAGATAGAATAGAATAGAATAGAATATATAGAATATATAAAATAGAATATATAAAATAGAATATAGAATAGAATATAGAATAGAATATATAGAATATATAAAATAGAATAGAATATAGAATAGAATATATAGAATATATAAAATAGAATATAGAATAGAATAGAATATAGAATAGAATATATAAAATAGAATATATAAAATAGAATATAGAATAAAATATAGAACAGAATAGAATAGAATATAGAATAGAATAGAATATAGAATAGAATATATAGTATAAAATAGAATATATAGTATAAAATAGAATATATAAAATATAAAATATAAAATAATATAAAATAATATAAAATAATATAAAATAATATAAAATAATATAAAATAATATAAAATAATATAAAATATAAAATATAAAATATAAAATATAAAATATAAAATATAAAATATAAAATATAAAATATAAAATAATATAAAATATAAAATATAAAATATAAAATAGAATAGAATAGAACAGATGGAAGAGACCCTAGAGGTCATCTAGTCCAACCCCCTGCTCAGGCAGGAAACCCTATAACATTTCAGACAAATGGCTGTGCAGTCTCTTCTTAAAGACTTCCAGTGTTGGAGCATTCACAGCTTCTGGAGGCAAGTTGTTCCACTGATTAATCGTCCTCACTGTCAGGAAATTCCTCCTTAGTTCCGGGTTGCTTCTCTCCTTGATTACTCCAGGGCTTCCTGCCTGAGCAGGGCATTGGACTAGAAGACCTCCGGGGTCCCTTCCCGCTCGGTTATTCTGTTATTCCCGTTCTCCCCCAAAGAGAACTGACCTGCTTTTTCCTCAGTTTGAGGATCTGCTGCTCCACTTTGGCGATCTCCCGGTCCACCCGGTCCATGCTCTGGATCAGCTCTTCCTTCGACAGCTTGGAGGGAGAGGCATTCTGATCCTCCCCGCACGACTGGCTCGACAGGGGCGAGGGGGGGCCTTCATGCTTGCCTCCGAAGACCGGCTCCTGCCATTTGGGGGGGCAGAAAGGAAGGAGAACGCGGGGTGAACGCGGTGCCGTAACGCCGAGGAGGACAGATCAGCGATAAAAAAAAGGAAGAGGTTGTCCTCAGCTTACGACCACAAGGGAGCCCGAGATTTTATGTGGCAAAGTGAGACAGCGAAGTGAGTTTTGCCCCATTTTACGACCTTGCTTGCCACAGCCGTTGTCAAGTTGGTAACCCGGTTATTAAGTGAATCTGGCTTACTTTGCCTGTCAGAAGGGCGCAAAAGGGGATCATGTGACCCCCCTGGGACTCTGTGACCGTCATAAATACGAGCTGTCTGAATTTTGATCATGTGACCACGAGGCGGCTGCAATGGTCGTTAGGTATGAAAAACAGTAATAAGTCACTTTTTTCAGTTAACGGTGTGAGTTCGAACAGTGATTGAATGAACTGTAAGTTGAGGACTACCTGTATTTTTATCTGTTTCTATCTTTTTTATAAGTAATTATACAGCAGTGGACATTCCTTCCTTCTCCTGTTGTTCACCACAACAAACCCTTTAAGATGAGTTGAACTGGGAACGATTGGCCCAAAGTGACCCAGCTGGCTGTCAGGCCTGAGGCGGGACTAGAACTCACTGTTTCCTGGTGATTGGTCCAAAGTCACCCAGCTGGCTTTCAGGCCTAAGGCGGGACTAGAACTCACCGTCTCCTAGTGATTGGCCCAAAGTCACCCAGCTGGCTGTCATGCCTAAGGCGGGACTAGAACTCACTGTCTCCTGTTGATTGGTCCAAAGTCACCCAGCTGGCTTGCAGGCCTCAGGCGGGACTAGAGCTCCCTGTCTCCTGGTGATTGGCCGAAAGTCACTCTAGCATTCAAACCTAAGGCGGGACTAGAACTCACAGCCCCTGGTGATTGGCCCAGAGTCACCCAGCCAGCTTTCATGCCTAAGGCAGGACTAGAATTCACCATCTCCTGGTGATTGGCCCAAAGTCACCCAGTTATCTTTCATGCCTGAGGCGGGACTAGAACTCACCGTCTCCTGGTTTAACCGCCAGACCCAACTGGCTCTCTGATGCCCAAAGGCAAGGTTCTTTATTATTACCACACCCTCTACGCCACATGCCCACCTTGGCTCGCAACAAGCAGCCGCAGGAGCAGATAAGAACAGGAAAAGCTGGCACAGGACAAAAACCAGCCCTACCACTTCTCAACCTTTGCTCGGAAAACACAAGTTAAAGATTAATCACCCGCTAGTAGGACTTTTCAACTTGACCTGAATTCAGCCAGCAAACATTAAGCCGTGTGTGTGTGTCTGTGTGTGTGTGAGAGAGAGAGGGAGGGAGGGAGGGAGGGAGGGAGAGAGAGAGAGAGAGAGAGAGAGAGAGAGAGAGAGAAAGAGAAATAGCCTTCTCCTCATTCAGGGTGTCCCAATCCCAGAATTCTCAGCCATGGTGGTTGTGGCTGGGGAATTCTGGGAGTTGAAGGCAGCATATGAAAAATAAATAAAATAAAGTAAATAATAAAATTAAAAAATAAAATAAATAATAAAATAAATAAAATAAATAAAATAAATAAAATAAATAAAATAAATAAAATAAATAAAATAAATAAAATAAATAAAATAAATAAAATAAATAAAATAAATAAAATAAACAAAGAAATAAAAATAAAGTAAAGTAATAAAATAAAGTAAAATAAAATAAAGTAAAATAAAATAAAAAAATAAATAAAGTAAAATAAAATAAAATAAAGTAAAATAAAATAAAGTAAAATAAAATAAAATAATAAATAAAATAAAATAATAAAATAGAATAAAATAAATAAATATAAAGTAAAGTAAAATAATAAAATAGTAAAATGAAATAAAGTAAAAAAAATAAAAAAATAAAGTAAAATAAAATAAAATAAAAATAAAATAAAAAATAAATAAAATAAAGTAAAATAAAATAAAGTAAAATAAAATAAAAAATAAAATAATAAAATAAAATAATAAAGTAAAATAAATAAAAAATAAAGTAAAATAAAATAAAAAATAAATAAAATAAAGTAAAGTAAAGTAAAATAAGGTAAAATAAAATAAAATAATAAAATAAAATAATAAAATAAAATAAAATAAAAATAAATAAAAACAGACAGAGAACTCCGTTCACACCACTGGAACGTGAATTTTTTAATCCCCGAACCTGTGAACAAAATCTGAGCATTTGAGCGTCTTTGCTCATGTGATGACAAGGAGGTGGAAACCCTGGAAGTCTCACACCTGTATTACGACAATATTGTAAATTTTTAGATCAATCTACACCGGGTGGTCCTGGACTTACGACCACAATCGAGTCCAACCTCTCTGTGGCTAAGCAGGACAGCTGTCCAGCCAGCTATGTCCAGATTTCACCAGCTTTTTCCCACGGTTGCTAAGCAAAATGGCTGCCGTTCTGAAGCGAATCACCCGGTCTTTGTTGGGACGTATTGATTGGTTGACTGGCTGCCCCCCAAAAAGCCCAAACCCACCAGGGGTCTCTTTTACCTTCTTTAAGTCTGAGGATCGCAGTCCTTCCTGCAGCTGGTGGGCCAAGGGCAGGACCGACGTCGCGCCGACCCGTTGGTAATGCGGGTCGGAAACTTGATCCAGGCGTGGCCGCTTGGAATCCAGGCCGTCATGATCGCCTTGGGACGGGCCAGGGTGGAACTGGGCCTCGTAGGCAGACCTCCTCTCCTGAGGCCTGGAGGAAGAAGAAGGAGGAGGGTGAAGATGGGACGGTGGGGAAGACACGAAGGCCAAAGCGGGGGAAAAAACCCCAGCTGTAGCTGCTCCGATCCGAGGTCTCCCTAACCAGCTCAAGAAATAAGTAAAAGGAAAAGATTTCACAGGTAAAAGAGAATAATTGAGCCGTGGGGTCCTTGGTGCTCTCTGAGCTGGGTGGTTTTCTTGCAGACATTTCATGACCCATCTATGGAACATCATCAGAGCTAGAAGGGAAGAAGAAGAGGAGGAGGAGGAGGTGGAGGAGGTGGAGGAGGAGGACGATAACTGTGGGGTCCTTGATGCTCTCAGAACTTGGTGGTTTTCTTTCAGATGGTTTCATGAGTAAGCTAGGTAACCTCATCAATGCTAGAAAGGATTTATTTATCATAGCTTGTTCTGCCATGTTCATGAAAGTGTTATTTTCTTTTGGGGAATAGGCTGTGGTTTACTGTATCCCATATATATCAACAGAGAGCAAATTTCACTCCCTTCTAGCATTGATGACGTTACCTAGTTGGGTCATGAAACGCCTGCCGGAAAACCAGCCAGGTCAGAGAGCACCAAGGACCCCACAGTCCTCTTCCCCCTCCCCCTGCTCCCCTTCCTCCCTTTCTCCTCGCAAAGGGGAGAAGGAATGTCATCTAGTCCTGATGATATTACCTAGTTGGGTTAACCCACCCAGCTCAGAGAGCACCAAGAACCCCCACAGCTGTTGTTCTCGTCCTTGTCTTCATCCATCTCTCAGCAGATCCTTCTTCCTTCGAGCCCTGATGATGTTCCCTAGTTGGGTCATGAAACGTCTGCAGGAAAACCGCCAAACTCAGAGAGCACCAAGGACCCCATTGTCGTCTTTCTCCTCCTCCTCCCTTCTAGCACTGATGATGTTACCTAGTTGGGTCATGAAACGTCCACAAGGAAACCACCCAGCTCAGAGAGCACCAGGGACCCCACAGTATTCCTCCTCCTCCCTTCTAGTCCTGATGATGTTGCCTAGTTGGGTCATGAAACGTCTGCAGGTAAACCACCCAGCTCAGAGAGCACCAGGGACCCCACAGTCCCCCTTCTCCTCCCTTCTAGCCCTGATGATGTTACCTAGTTGGGTCATGAAACGTTTCGAGGAAAACTACCAAACTCAAAGCGCTCTAAGGAGCCCAAAGCCACCATCCTCCTCCACCACCTCCTCCTCCTCCTCCTCCTTTCACAAACCCTTCTTCCTTCTAGTCCTGCTGATGTTCCCTAGCTGGGTCACGAAACGTCTGCAGGAAAACTACCCAGCTCAGAGAGCTCTAAGGAGCCCAAAGCCACCCTCCTCCTCCTCCTCCTCCTCCTCCTCCTCCTCCTCCTCCTCCTCTCACAATCCCTTCTCCCTTCTAGCCCTGATGATGTTCCCTAGCTAAGTCACAAAACGTCTGCAGGAAAACCACCAAACTCAGGGAACACCAAGGAGCCCACAAACAGATGCAGCTAAGATGGGTCGCCCCATTACAAATCCACACCCAAGGCTACTATTGCCCTCTTTAACCACACCCTATGCTGTACACCCTCCAACACACACAAGAACCGACTCACAGCTCATCTGAAGGGCTGCCTGCAAGGGGAAAAAAAACCCCCACAAATACTTGCAGAGAATACACAAAGTGCTCACCGGTCCGAGCCAGGATGAAATTCGGACAGCAAAGACGGGCGACGGCGGAGCTGCTGCTGCTGCTGCAGAAGTTGGCTCCCCTGGCTGACTTCCAAGTGGGACGTGCGGAAATCTGGGACGGCAAACTCCTAGAGAGGAAAGGAATGAAAGGAATGGCGGTTGGGGGGCCAAGAGAGGCATTTCGTCAAGACCGACGGAACGAGAGTATTAGTACCGCTTTAGAAAACCCTAGTGAGGCCACACCTGGAATACTGCAGCCAGTTTTGGTCACCCTATCACAAAAAAGATGTTGAGAGTTTGGTAAAAGTGCAGAGAAGAGCAACTAAGATGATCCAAGGCCTGGAGACTGAAACATACGAAGAACGGCTACGGGAGTTGGGTTTGGCTAGTCTAAAGAAAAGAAGAAATAGGGGAGACATGATAGCAGTGTTCCAGTATCTGAGGGGCTGCCACAAGGATGAGGGGATCAAACTATTCTCCAAAGCATCAGTGGGCAGGACAAGAAACAATGGATGGAAACTGACCAAGGAGAGAAGCAACCTGGAACTAAGGAGAAACTTCCTAACAGTGAGGACAATCAACCAGTGGAACTGCTGGCCTCCAGAAATCGTGGGTGCTCCATCACTGGAGAAATAATAATAATAATAATAATAATAATAATAATAATAATAATAATAATAATAATAATAATAATAATAATAATAATAATAATAATAATAATAATAATAATAATAATAATAATAATAATAAAAAAGTTGGAAGGGACCTTGGAGGTCATCTAGTCCAACCCCCTGCTCAGGCAGGAAACCCTATAATATTTCAGACAAATGACTGTCCAGTCTCTTCTTAAAAACTTCCAGCGTTGGAGCATTCACCACTTCTGGAGGCAAGGAGTTCCATTGGTTAATTGTTCTAACTGTCAGGAAGTTTCTCTTTAGTTCTGGGTTGCTTTTCTCCTTGATTGAGTTTCCATCCGTTGCTTCTTGTCCGGCCTTCAGGGGCTTTGGAGAAGAGCTTGACTCCCTCTTCTTTGGGGCAGCCCCTGAGATACTGGAAGGCTGCTATCATGTCCCCTCTCATCCTTCTCTTCGTTAAACTAGACATCCCCAATTCCAGCAGCCTTTCCTTATATGCTTTGGCCTCCAGTCCCCAGAAGAGTCTGGACAGTAACCTGTCTGAAATGGTATACAGTAGGGTTTATTATTATTAACTTTAATTGAGTGACAGATGCCAGGAATGTCTGCTGGGCAGAAATGGGGTTAATCGTTATCTGGAAACTAAATAACGGGGTCAATGTCTCATGATCTGAAGCTCATTTTAAGCAATGTCTACCTTTTGACTAAT